CATTAAATCATAATTTCTTGCACATGCTCAAGACATAAAAGCATATGTCCAATCCAATCATTAATTATTGTATGCAAAATATTTGTTTCAAGTTTCAAAGGCTCTGTCCTGGGTTCAAAACAGCCGATCCCACTATTCCATTTCAAGCTTCACCTGCTCTAAGCACAAAATATTCAGGATGTTTAGAACAATGTTGGAATATTTAACTAAAAAATACTTGAGGAGTTGAAGTTTGGAATATTTTATATCTCTTTGGCCCTTAAATATCAGGTGCATTATATCTGATCCAGTGGTGAAATTCAATTTTTTTTTACTACCGGTTCTGTAGGCGTGGTTTGGTGGGCATGGCAGGACAAGGATACTGCCAAATTTCCATTCCCACCCCACTATTGGGGAAGAATATTGCAAAATCTCCATTCCTACCCCACTCTGGGGCCAGCCAGAGGTGGTATTTGCCAGTTCTTCGAACTACTCAAAATTTCTGCTACTGGTTCTCCAGAACCTGTCAAAACCTTCTGAATTTCACCCCTGATCTGATCCCATTATCACATGCTGTTTTTATGTTGAGTAGATCTTGAACTGATGATTCGGGGCAGCATTTCTCAATCTTTGTTCATCCATGGCCACCTTTTCTGACCCTGATTTTCTCTTGTGGGCTCCATTACTTGATATGGACATGCGACAACAACTCTGGGTCTTGTGGAATTAACAAAACTGTATTTGCAGCATAGTACATTTTGCTTTTCTGTGTCTCTCTTAGCATGTATCACGCCCCCACTGCATGTTTTTCACTTGTGGCTGCAAAATATCTTAAGGCGTCTAGGATGCTGAATGGCCCCTGGCTGAACTGATCTAGCAGACAGCTCAGGTTGTGAGAATCCTCATGAAATCAAAACATAATTTATAACATTCATATAAATGTCTCCTCCCTAAAACGAGGCTGGCTGCTAGAAATACAACAAAGTCCATCTGTTTGCCTCAATCTACAATCCATGATTCACCTATCCACAGTACAGGAAAAAACTCCTCACTGTTTAATGGATTGTATTGTATTGTAGATTAGATTAGCTGCATATTTGACATCTATTCATCATAACACCCACTTATAGTCATCTCAATACTGTATTTTACATTAGGAGTGTTTTAAGATGCTGCACTATCTATATTCTATAAGCTTAGTATTTTAGCACCAGAAGGCTCAACTGCAATGCTGAATGAATCATTTTCAGATAGGACAAAAGCTGTCAACCAAAAACTATCACCTATGCTGCAGTCAAAGAATGCATGAAAGAAGTGAAAAGTTGAGAATATGAACTGTCAATTTCCTTTGCCTCTTCATTCCTCCTCACACAGGCCCTTTTTTCCCCTAACAGGGATCCCAAGCAGAGAAATAGCAGATGTGGAGATCTATAACAGGAGATTTATCTGCTTCTTATTCTCTATCCAAATATCCAATGCCCAGTCAAATTTTTTTTAAAAACACCATCAATACCAGGATTAAAGGGTTAGCTCCCTTCCGAATGTCCACTCCTGCTTCACAATTGGAATGGATGTTATTGTCTGCAATCAAGCCACCTGCACCAAGACGCAGAAATATCCCTGAGGTCTTGCAGTGGTGAATGTCATTCTTGAGCATAATGATCTGAAAGAGGGAAAGACAATGAATTAGATTTATTCATCAAAAAGATTGCAGGCAGGCCAAACAAACAGTGCAGGAATATTAACTTTGGAGTTAATATACAGTCAGTACCAAAATATGGTCATCTCTGCAGTTACTCTGACAGGGTCTGACATTTGCCACTAAGTGCCTTTCAGGCAGGCGGCTTTCTCACTATATACAGGTGAAATTCAAAAAANTCCGGTGCGGCTTTTGGTCGTGAAAATACGGTATGTATGTATGTATGTATGTATGTATGTATGTATGTATGTATGTATGTATGTATGTATGTATGTATGTATGTAACTGAGGAAGGATGGGACATTATTTGATTTTTAATGACAGGGGAGGACAATTGTTCTTTATTTTAGGATTAATGCTAATTTTTGCATTTCCTTCCACTAAATGAGGGGAAGCTATATCAGCAAGATTAAATTGATGCAGTTGAGGGGAGTTCTAGGAGATAGAAGAAAAGGCTATGAAACTATATGTCTATGGAGATTCTCAGTCATCCAGATCATGGCTGCCCCAAAGGTGCTTTTTCAAAAGACAACTGGATTTTCTTTCTTTTTTCTTGAAGATGTTTTGCTTCTCATCCAAGAACTGAACTGAACAAGCTTCTCAGATGAAAAGTGGAACATCTTCAAGGAAAAAAGCAAAGAAATTCCAATTGCCTTTTGAAAAGCACCTTTGGTGCTATGAAACTACATCACAGCCTTGGAATTGGGAGAGCTGCAAAATCAGATTTCCAATGCATTTGGTGGTAGGATTCACACAACTCAGAATCCAACCCTTTTTGACTCCTTTGTACCTATCATTTCTTGGTGCCAGCATAGAATTAATGTTTTATAATAATTTCTCCCTAAAGCATTTCTCCTCCAAGGAATGGTCCAAAATGTTTACTTGTTGGCATCTTCTCTTGGGAAAATAATGGATCCTGGCCAAAACCCAAGTAGCGGCGGCATCAAATGAGTTTCAGGTTTCTCACTGATGTTATCCAGTGGAGGATGAGCATTACAAGATTCAGAGACATGATTTCAATTGCCAATCTGGCTGGGAAATTCATGGAGGGACTTTGAATCAGCCACAAACCTTAATCTTGCCAACTTCACAATGAGAGCATCCCTTTTTGGAGAAAGGAGGCAATACTACTAATTATACTAATAAGCCTGTTCCTTTTTTAAGCACCCACCTTCATGTCGGCTGCCTGCAAGAGTCGGAGGCCACATCCCTGATTTCCTAGGACGTCATTCTCCGTGATGACCCCATCGCCCTTGGAGCTAATGCCATGGCTGCTGTTGTCATAGATCCCATTGCCACGGAGTTCCACCCGGCACTCGGCTTCCACCAGGACTCCCCCAAGGCTATTGCAAGAAATGCTGTTATTTGCCATTCGGGTGAGTTGCGAGCTTTGAAACACGGCAACCCCGTAGTCATGGTTGGCGTGGATGGCATTTCCAATGATATTCAGAGCTTCGCTGCTTTTGACATACAAGCCAGCAGCTATGGGGAAAAAAGAGAAGAGAATACAGAGGGGAATCAACTCTCTTAACAAAAACAAAATGGGGAGAGAAAGCCGAAGTAGACCGGCATACAGTCTCAATAAATTCCCTAGTTGATATCTATATTTAAAATAGATGGTTGGCCTTTCTTAAATGGAACAAATGCAAAAATATTTTTTGCCAAATGGCAAAAAAATAGCCATAGCCGTGCATTGCAGGGTGTGAGATCACTGAGGAACAAGGAATTTCAGGCAGCTATTGAGTGTACTTTGGGTGCAGTAATAGGTACAGGCACTGCAATCAACCAAAAAAAGAGGCAAAGAGTATGTAGTGTAGTCATTGTCATCATCATCTTCCCTACTGTAAGATCAGCATCACAGTCTACAGCTTAACTCTCTGCTTCTATTACAATTCACACAGTTCAGTAATGAAAACTGCACAGCCCCAGTTGAGACTCACTGAAAAGTCAAGAAATGCAATCTTTTCTTTGGCATGCCTTATCAATTCTTGGCCTACACACACATACACACACAAACACACACACACACACAATTTCAGATGGCAACCCAAATGCCTATATGAAGTCAGTCAATGAAACTTAAAATGAACTCTTCCCCAACTTTATATAAAATTGAAAATAAAATGATAATTACAAATTATTTACTATTCAGTTTAGACTAAAACTGGATCAAAAGCAGAAAACAACGCCCACCCCCCCCATGTGCACTAGAAATTAGCATATGGTTTATCCACACTAGTATCATGCAGCAGGCTAACATGTTTTGCAAAGGATTATGACAGCTCTCTACATTATTGTGTTTTTGCAGGGACTTTGCACAAATTATTAAGTGGTAGCCCCTTTAAGGTTTCCTTCATATTAAGCTGGTGTATCCAATTTTGCTAGGACTCACCTCCGTTATGGTTAATGTTGTTTGACTCCACAAGAGCCACATTGATGGGCCGCTGGGAAGTCAAGCGTTCATCCTCACTCTCCAGGTCATTCTCCCAGTTGGCTGCTTCTCCTTCTTCATTGAAGTTCTCATTGCCTCCTTGGTTGACAAGATAATCATTAGCATCGTCTTTGCGGCAAAACACTGCGATGCCATAGATGCTGTTGTGCCCTATTTGGTTGTTGGTAACATGGGGAAGGCTGGACGACATTATCCAGACACCACAGCCCTTATTACCTACAAGAGAAGCATGGAGAGTTGTCATGTTTCCTTTCAAATTATGTCAGAGATTTGGCACTAGAACCGAGAAGCATTTTGGTTCAAGTTAGTTTAGTTAGCTTACTTTATTGCATTGAAACCTCATACAACGAAATTAAATGCCATCTTCAGTCTACATCATACATAAGAAAACTATAAAAACAAAACAAAAACACACATTCTTCGCTTTCTATACAATACAGCTCAAGTATCCTGCGCTTACTAGCAACGGAAATCTTGAGGCTCAGGAGTGGAAGACATCCATTTCTAAAGCTGGATTCAGGTATCAAAAACCAGAGGTCTTTATCCTATTTTGAGCTATCGGAAGGCTTGAACACTTTACCATGCACAGATTTGTTCAGAAACCCTGCAGGTGTGGAAGAGAAATCTCCATGGGAAAAGGGCATGAGTTCCGCCTGCTCTTGTGACAATCATCTTCACCACAAGCCACAGAAGAATGAGATAACCTAAGTGTTCAGTGCACCAAATTCACAGGATGTCATACAATTTAGATACTCTAAAAACGTCTTTTGGATCTTCATGTTCTGCAAGAGAATTCGCAGCTACTCAGGCCAAATTCGAATTACATTGATAGGCTCAAAACGGTTCCAGGTAGCATTAAAAAGAACCCCTGCATTTTTCAAATATATCCCGCATTGCATCTGGAAAGGGGATTTAGAAAAGGCTTGCCATAAATGGTGTTTCCTTCTACAAGTCCTTTTCCTCGTTCTCCGATAACCACTCCATCTGAATAGCCACAGCAGATCAGGTTACTTCTGAGGACAGGATCTCCCCCACGCCGGATGTCTGCACCTCCCCACTGGTTCTCTCGGATCACGTTTTCTAAAGTGTGGTAGGAAAATCAGTCAGTGAAGAATTACTAAAAAGCCATCTTCAAGAAGAATCCAGCATTTGATTTCTAAAGATGTCCTAGGTGGAAATTCCATCAAGCCAACTCGATACCATTTTTCTTTATGCCAAATCTATTGGCACTATTTTGATTATTTAAGATTGCTAGAGATAGGCTAGTCCAGGGATTGGCAACCTTAAACATTCAAAGAGCCATTTGGACCTATTTTCCACAGAAAAGAAAATGCCAGGAGCCACAAAACCCTTCCCGTACCTGACTATTTCCTGAGAGGCCATAGAACTAGCATATGTAGTTGAATTAAATGTTCAGTTTTCTTCTGAAACTTTTCTTTTCTTGGATTTTCCCACTCCCAGCAGCCAAAAAGCTCAATAAATCACGTGCCTGCAGGTATTATACATTGGGGGCTTTGACACATATTTTGAGAGAAAGGGAGCCGCAGCAGAGAGATGAAAGAATCACATGCAACTCCAGAGCCGTGGGTTGCTGATCCCTGGGCTAGCCTATCATTACAAAGTGGAGTTCAAAGCTCTGTGGCAGCCACAGTCAAGAGAAGACCAGCAGGGAAACACCATAAAACAGAATAGCAAAAATTCTAATTTGTCAATACTCATAGCCTCTCGTAGTGGGGGGAAATTAAAATATTGGGATTTGGGAGAGGCATTTTGGGAGGGTGGGATTCTTTAAATCTGACAAAGGCTTAATACACCACTGCATACCTTAAAAAAATGCTTATCTCTGAAAATATTGGGCAAATCTTTGTTTCCTCCTTTTGCATTTTAAACTGTCCATTCCCCTACTCCCTCACCACTCCTATCAGCCAAAAAAAGANATACATACATACATACATACATACATATTGGGGTACACCTCCTGTGGCCCCATGGCTGTATGACTCAAAACTTTATCCTCCTTTTATCAAGTTTATTTATTTATTTTTTGTTACACATACATATTTATGAACAAAGTATTGTCCGGTGTTTTTTCCTTTTACATCTTCCAATGTATATAATCCATTTTACATCATAATTCTGTTCCAATTTCAGCTCTATTATTCTCTTTCCGCATCAAAGTTAATCCAAATTATCATTCCTTATTTCATCTATCAGTCTATTTTACTCCAATTAAATCCTCTAGCTGTTCTCCATTTTCAGTTCCTTTTTCCTCCATATTCTTGTTCTTCAATTAAACCGTCTATTACTATCTTCTCTCCTATTCCCTGGTGTGAGTTATCCATCTAGTTTTCTTATTTTTTCTTGCCATTAAAGGTTTCACACACATTTTAGTGTAATTCATTGTATATCGATGAGCTCAACGTAACTAATTTAACTTTTTTTTTTCCAAAACTTTATCCTCACAGAACCAACCGATGGAAGAGGAAGATATAAACTTGAAATAAGGAATTTCCTGACTATGAGAACTAGTAAGCAATGGAACAACCTGTCTCCTGAAACCAAGGATATGCCATCACTGAAAGTTTCCATGAAAAGATTCCATTCTTTCATGAAAAGATTCCATGACTATTTTTCCAGCATGGTATGAGGATTCCTGCATTGCATGGAGAGCTGGAAGATATTCAAGCTCCTTCCAAACCTACAATTTGCCACACAGTCCCTCTACAAATACTTTTATACTATAAATTAACTCACTTCCATTAAGCACATTTATGTCCTGGTTCTATTCACTTTTTAGTTTCTCTTTGCTTCAAAAAGGCTGTGCTCTCCTACCATATAGGCTTACAACTGGGGAAAGCCTTTGAATTAGCCATGTGCTGCTTTTAACTCTTTATGAAATAGTGGTGCTTCACATGCACCAACAAGTTATGTAAAACAACATTTTTGAACTCTTTGTACAATCCTAGTATAAATATGCAGGGTATCCACCATTTTGGACTGGTTCCAAATGGTTAAACTGAATAAACTCTCCAGGACAGTTACTAATTAAACTAGTTACTAAGATATTTAGATGTTTGTTTGCTCAAACACAAATTCTACAAACAGAGGCAAAAATTAAATTAGAAAGGTTTTTTCCCTCCTTAGGTCACATCTGTCCAGCCTATAAATGCTCTTTAAAACAGTATTGCCATAAAATGGGAGACATGAAGATCATACGGATTGATCACCTTAAATTATACAGGACGTATAATTGCTGCTGGCAGAAGAGCACCTGGTGTATTAAATATACTTGATTTTGCATAGTATGAAATACATTTGAATTGATATTTGGTGTTTTTTTATCTCTGATGAAAATTCAAAGACCTACTCTGTACTTGTATAAGGAGGATGGGCTGGATGGTAGACCTGTTTCAAATCAAGAAGATTTGCTCCTGTAGGATTGAAAACAAAAACTTGTGGAGTAAATATACTTTCAAAGGCAATTTGTGATCTTGCGCATTATAAATAGTAACAGCAAACCATTGTGCGAAGAATATGCTGTTAAAACTGTTGATGACTCAGCCACATGGAGAACAAATAGAAGCATATATAATGCACACTTAACTGTGGAGAAAATCCCTACCTGGTCAGATTCTGATTTAATTTAAAAAACAGTACAGGAGTACAAATGTGTCAACTTTGTATATTTACCTCTAGGCAAACTTGTCACTGCAACTGTATTGTACACACACACACACACACACACCAGCTTTTATATGGCACAGGGTTCTCTATGGCTCACTGATATCCAACCTTTTGGTTTGCCTTAGCTAGGGGGAGTGAAGAGGAACTGTCTTGGGCTATGTGTATATATTTGTATTTGTGTGTGTATGTGTGTGTGTGTGCCAAGACAGAGACAGACAGAGACATACATACATATATATTATATTTATGTTGTGTTGTGTTGTGTTGTGTTGTGTTGTGTTGTGTTGTGTTGTGTTGTGTNCTGAGCCAGTGAGATTTGAACAGCCGAACTGCAGAACTGCAGTCAGCTGAAGTAGCCTGCAGTGCTGCATTTAACCACTGCACCACCTCGGCTCCACAATACAAATACTTACCAACCACTCATTGTTCTGACCTAGGCTTCCTGATACAGTAAAACCAAAACCCTCTTTTTATTTCAACAGTTGTGAATTATGTTCATTCACAACCCGTAATGAGTAACAAATAGTTTGTAAAGAATCTGACAGAAGTCTGCCAAAGTCTTTCGGGATGAGGCTAATATGCACCCACCTTTATCTTCCTTGAAACACTGCCAAAGACCTAATTGGCAATTAGCTTTGCAAGGCCACACGGAGCACAGAATCAAAATGTGCCTTTGATCCTCCTTTATGTCCTATGGGAGGGGCCAATCACCTCCAAGCCTTACTCCTAAGTTGTCCCTTTTGTCTTATCTGTTCTTGCCTTCTTGCAGCTCTGCACATGCGCGCACTGGGAACAGGGTCCCCCTGTTCCTCTGCCTCACTGATGTTCGACTCTGGAGGCTCCAGAGGCAGCCCATAACTCCCAGATGGCCCTGGCCCCCTCTCTGCCTCCAATGCAGAGGCCTCATCTGAGCCTTCCCCAGACTCCAGGAGTGGCCCATGTTCCTCCCCAACCTCCTCACTATTCGAGTCTGTTGCCAACTCCACTGGCCGCCGGTGGACCACAACGCTCATTTAGTAGTGTTGAAAAAAATAGTTTTACAGCCAATTTATGACCATCTATGACTTTTGCAGCATCCCTCAGTCATCTGATCACCATTACAGTAAGTACATATTGTCCTGAGCCTGACCTGTGTGGTTTTTAATTTTTTTCACCACCGTTACAGAGCAGAAGGATCTAATTACATTTTTATTCTCGTCAGATAAAATAGGAACAAAATTTGATCATTCCTGAGAACTTAAAATATATGTGCACAGTTTGTGACTCACCAACTTGAATACAACAGAATCAACCATCCATGTGGTGACTGCTAAATGCTCGAGAACACCCTCATTTTACACCTCTGGCCAGATAATAGAGCACACAGCTTATCAAATCCTTGATGGGCTTTCATTGTGACTTGTTAATTTCCCTCAGTTTGGCAAATGCATCGAACCCACTCCTGTTGCTGCATGAGCTGAGAATATATTAAACACAAAACTATCACAGTCATTGACTGAGGGGAGTCTCCAGTTACTCATGTTGACATCTGATGGATGACAGAGTGTTCAAGCTGAGAACAAACAAACTAAGCAGATCAGAATGCATGAATCAGACATTTTAAAAGCAAGTGTACCATGTCCCGGGCAGAAACACACACACACACATACACAGCATTCACTTACCTTTGCTACCAGTTTGCAAATGTGAGTGTATCACACACGTGCACACTTCGCTCGCAAGCACAACATCCATGCATGAGCTCCGCCTTCCATGCATGCGCTTTGCCTAAAAATAATGTCCTAAATGGGATGCGGTAGAGCCTGGCCATGGCCACCTGAGATTTCTGCTACCAGTTCAGGCGAACCAGTTAGAACCAGCAGAATACCAACACACACACACACACACACACACGTCTTAAAAGGTGGTCAAGTAACAGTTTAAGTGAACAGTTTTTTATTATTATTATTATTTTGTGTGTGTGTGTGTACACACATACTAATAAATAATAATAAAAAAAACTTGCCTTCACTTAAACTGATTCTTGGCCATCTTTTTATACCGCTGTTTTCTCACAATGACTTAACAAAAAAAGCAATACCAAAAGGAGATTATAAACAACTTAAAATAAAATGAGTTCCAAAAAAATACCATTTGAAAGTACACATTGGCAAAAAGATACCATTCAAATTTTTCATTAAAAGTCCAGAAGAATATTTTAATTTCATACTCCCGACAAGCTGCCACTGATGAGGACAAATATATGCCTTTCAGCAGGAGAGCCCTTAATACCTACACAGTTAGGGACATACAGACTAAAGATATCTTTCCCCCTAGACCCATGATGATGAACCTATGGCACGGTTGCCAGGGGTGGCACACAGAGCCCCCTCTGCGGGCACACCAGACGTCACTCC